GCAGGAAATAACCCAGTGTCCAATCCTACCTAACCTGAAAATAGAGTGCAGGTTTTGTTACAATGAGGGGCAGTAAGAGCACCTGTAGTGAGGAATTGCTTGAGGGGCAGGAATTGCATCTGCAGTTAAGATTTGGGGTGAAAAATTTGCTCATGTTTACACTTGGTATAAATTCCAGATGGCTTGCAGAGCTCCAGGGACAAAGTCCCTGTGGCTGTAGCCTGAAGGGCTGTGTTGGGTGATGACATTTGGCCACACTATGACCTATGAATTAGTGCTCTGAGGTTGGGGAACAGCAGGATTTTGAAGATGAAAATGTCTTTGAGGCAAATTTTGGTGAGCTTAGTTACCCACTGAAATACTCCCAGGAGTGTCAGTACCTGGCAGGAGGTTCTTTGCCTCACTTGGCACTTGGAATTCATAGAATCAACCAGGTTGGAAGAGACCTCAAAGATCATCGAGTCCAACCCTACCATGCTTACTAGACCATGGCACTAAATGCCACATCAGTCTCATCTTGAAAACCTCCAGGAATGGTGAATCCACCACCTCCCTAGACAGCCCATTCTCTCTGTAAAAAAATCTCTTCCTAATATCCAACCTAAACTTCCCCTGGCAGAGCTTGAGTCTGTGCCCTCTTGTCCTCCTGCTGGTTGCCTAGGAGAAGAAATCAACCGTCACCTAACTACAACCTCCTTTCAGGGAGTTGTAGAGGGTGATAAGGTCTCCCCTGAGCCTCCTCTTCTCCAGGCTGAACACCCCCAGCTCCCTCAGCCTCTCCTCATGGCACTTGTGCTCGAGTCCCTTCCCCAGCCTTGTTGCTCTTCTCTGGACCTGCTCCAGCACCTCAATATCCTTCCTGAGCTGAGGGGCCCAGAACTGAGCACAAGATTCAAGGTGTGGCCTCACCAGCACTGTGAGTCCAGGGGCAGAATCACCTCCCTGGTCCTGCTGACCACACTGTTCCTGATCCAGGCCAGGATGCCATTGGCCTTCTTGGCCACCTGAGCACACTGCTGGCTCCTGTTCAGCTTCCTATCTATCCACACTCCCAGGTCCCTTTCTGCCTGGCTGCTCTCCAGCCACTCTGTCCCCAGCCTGGAGCACTGCATGGGATTGTTATGGCCAAAGTGCAGGACCAGCACTTGGCCTTGTTAAACCTCATCCTGTTGCAATCAGCCCATCTCTCCAGCTTATCGAGGTCCCTCTGCAGAGCCCTCCTGCCTTCCAGCAGATCCACACTCCCCCCAACTTTGTGTCATCTGCAAACTTGCTGATAGTGAACTCAATCCCCTCATCCAAATCATCAACAAAGATATTAAAGAGAACTGGGCCCAAATGCTTTGGATTGGCTTATTTTTGCAGGAAGGAGGGGGGGGAAATGATGTTATCCCCCAACTCCCCTGTCTTAAAGGCACTTTATTTAGGGATGAGGAAAACCTGTGATCCATGGATTACAGTTTCAAGAGTTAATTGAGGTGATGTTTGGGTGCTGAGACTGATCCTGCACTGACTCACAGGGCCTGGAAGCAGCTCAGTGATGCAGAGCTGATCCTAAAATGATCAACCAGTTCAGCCTCAATCTGTCAGAGTCCCTGCAAAGCGCATGGAAATGTTTCTATTCCGGTATTTCAGGAGGCTTTGCCTGGAAGTATAAGCAGTTATTTAGGGAGAGCTTGATTCATTGTGAAGGAGAAAAGAATATGATTATAGGCCTGGCTGTTTCTCATGCCTTCTCAGTGAACTGGATGGAACACACAGACTGATGCAGAAAAAAAGTTTATTGAATATTTCACTTACAAAGCTACAATTATGGCAATCAGGTTTTTGCTGTTTCATGATTGCAATTCTGAATCCCAAACTAGGTCCTGCTTTAACAATTACATCTCAATTACACCCCCTTCATGGAATTTTTGAGGCTTTAAATGCAAAATGAGGAGTAAGACAAGAAATTTGAGCCAACTTGATTTTTTTTTTCAGCAGCTGAACTGGGAGCCGGGGTGGAAGAAAGCAGCAGTAACAGTAAAGCAGTGTGGAAAGTGAAATGCCCAACAAATCCCAGAAGAGGTGACTATTCCTGGCACAGCCGAGGCCTTGGCAGCTTTGCAAAACACTTCAGGGCAGTGGCATCTTTGATCTTCTCTGTAAGAACTAGGAGCTTGTAGCTGTCCAAGTGCTAGAAGGGTCTAGAATGCCCAATGGTAAAGTAACTTTGAATTCTGTGTCTCATCCCTCATCTCTCCTCTCAAATATGATTATCCAACACCCTTCTAATGATGGTACAAACCCTGCTCATGTCAGTAAAGGCCTTCAGGGTTGTGCAGAGGTTTGCTTTGGGTTGCTCAGGGAGGGAAGTGCACAGACATTGCTGCTGATGCCTGTGGCAGCTTTGCTCAGGTGGAGACAGACAGGAGACTGTCAAAAAGACAAGTTCCCCAGAGCTGTAAATCAGTGTAGTTCCCTTGAGTTCAAGGGATTCACTGATTTCCATCTGCTGAGGATCTGGTCTCAATGGTGATCCTGTCTGAGACACATAATGGCATTGCAGGTGTGTGCCAGGGACATGAGAACAGAGTTCAGGACAACCAGGAGCTGCTATGGGGAGGCTGATAATGCAAAGAGAGAAGTTGGCATTATTCTAGGAGCTGATATCTGGGGCACTCAACCAAGCATTACGGTGCTATCCATGGATCTTTGATAGGAGCACTGAGTGCAGCCAGGCTGGAGCACAGCACTGGGCTCAGCTACTGGGAGAAGCAGGATGCTGGTGTCAGAGCTGCTGGGACATGCTTCACCTCCCCATTGTAGAGGAATGGGAAGGTTGAGGTGTAGCACTTGTTCCTGTCGTAGGTGTAGCAGGTCTGGGGCTCATCACAGAAGTTGCCCTGCTGGACCTGGTGGACCACCCCACCCAGCTCAATTTCTGTGGGATTGCAGTTCCTGCAGCTGCAAGAGATGGAGAAGGGAATAAGTGTGAAGAGCTGTGATGATAAGATGGCCTTGGTGAAACCCAGCTCTGTACTGCTGGTCTGCAGGTGGAGCTGGGTGAGTCCTGTGCCCTTGCTGTCTTACAGGGGAGCTCCCAGCCCTCAAGCACGTTTGTGGGGTGCTGTGGGCAGTGCTGCAGGGGAGGTTAGGTCCTGGGAAACGAGCTGAGTAAATGAAACTACTTACAGTTCCGTCATGCGGTAGACAAATTTGGTCCTGACCGGAGACAGGGGGTCAGAGATGTTCTCTCGAGCCTTCAGAGGGACTCTGCAAAGGAGGGAAGAGCACCACTCATCGAAACTGCTTCTTAAACAGAGTCTGCTCTGCTGTCAGTGATTCTAAGCTCTCATCTTGCTCCTCAGGTTATCTCCATCCTGGCCCATCTCCAAATCAAAGCCCAGGAACGGCAGGTCTGAACCCTTCTGTGCCCTCTAAGGCAGCAGCCCTCCCTGAGAGGACAGCAGCAATGCCTGTAAGTGCCATTTTCAAGGTGGCAGTGCTGGCAATGTTTGGGGATTTTAAGCTCTGAGCTGGCAGATGCCTGAGAGACTTGCAGGATGTACACAGGGATGTTTAGTGGTTCTCCTGTTGTGAACTTCCCAGAGCTCCTGCAGCTCCGGGTCCTTGTTCCCCAGAGACACACACCCTTGTGCAAGGTTTGTGTGAGTGGAGAGGACAAAGTCTTGCTCTTGAGCTGAGATCTGTCTCACAGGAATAGGTTTTTCTGCTGTTTTAGGCATTAGCTATTTTCCCAGGCTTGTCACGTTGGGAAGTCACGGCAGCGTCCTGTACCCAATCTGGTTAGATCAGCTCAGCTGTTAACAAGTTGTATGCTACTCCCCCAATCTATTTTGTGAAGTTACCACTGGAATGCTTAAAATATGGAGATGCTTTTCAGTATCTGAGCAGACAAACACCAGAGAGGTTCATGTCAATTAGAAAAACACTAAACCAAGGGAAATACTCCAGGATACTGAAAGCAGCCCCTGGGAAAAGCAGTTCATTTCAATGCCAGGCATGGGAAACAATGCCAAGGAAAGGCAAGTTCTATAACATTTCATCCCCTGCTCACCATGTCCATGAAACACTTGTCTGCCACTTACAGGATGCGTATGTTTCTCTCCAGGACTTCTTCCTCAGGGTTATCTTTGGAGGGGACCAACCTGGAGGTCACTGTCACACACTGACACTTGTTATTGACCAGCACGTACTCATCATTCTTGTGGTCCAGGGGATAACCTGCAAGCACAGGATATGCAATCCCAGAATCAAGAAGAAAAGCCTTGAAAGCTGCTCTGGCAGCAGGATGCGTATGTTTCTCTCCAGGACTTCTTCCTCAGGGTTATCTTTGGAGGGGACCAACCTGGAGGTCACTGTCACACACTGACACTTGTTATTGACCAGCACGTACTCATCATTCTTGTGGTCCAGGGGATAACCTGCAAGCACAGGATATGCAATCCCAGAATCAAGAAGAAAAGCCTTGAAAGCTGCTCTGGCAGCAAGGGAAGGGATGAGAATGGCAGGCACCTGGATTGATTCAGGTCCAAATTGCAGCAGGTATGAGTGAATCTTGGCAGCAATGAGTTCAGCTGTCTTACCTGTCAGCTGCTGTATGTGGAAGTGATGGGACTGGGAAGGAGAAGATTAGGAACCTGGACACTGTGGTAGGGAAGAGGCCAGCATGCAGGGATTGCTCATGCAATGGGAAGAAACTCCCCTGGTGAACCTCCAACTATTCCTCACAGCTGAAGTGCTCTTTTACCCTGACAGGGAAGGTTACCCCATCCCTCTGTCCTGCACCAAGACTACTCTAGCAGCCCAAACCCCACTTTGGTCTCTAACCTTGCCAATGTGGCAGATATCTCAGCTTTCCTTGAGTGCTGTCTTGTCCTTCAGGACCCAGAGGGCACAGATGCCAAAAAGCACTGCAGGACCCAGCAAGAAGGCAGCCTGTGGTCCTGGCATGGGAAGGCAGGTGGCCCTGATGATGGTTGTGGTTTGCAGGGAAAATCCAGTCCTGAGTTTCTTACCCAAGCTGATTCTTCTCTATTTGAGTATGTCTCCCACACTTTTAGCCTGCTACTCAAGATGAAACTCAGTGAAAACAGGGTAAAACATCCCATCTGTTACCCAGAGGCTTTTAGAGTGTACCTGGTGTTGTACAATAGACAGATTTAAAGCGGTTTGTTCTTTGCTAGATTTTCACCAACGCAGAGCCTCTGGTTTCTTCACCCATAACAAGCCAGCCTTGCTTTTATGTTGTTCTTACATCCTTCTGTACTTCTAAATGCTGCTGAAATTAAGTTCACAGCCATCACTTTGCAGCATGACTCTTCCTACAGCACCTTCAGCCTGCTGAGAAGTACCAAACCCAATGATTTTTGTCAGATAGGGACAAGTAGTATTGGGCTCAAATGGACCTCAGTTCTGCGGGGTTGTCGGTTCACCTGCTCTGCTTGTCCTTGGTTTAATCATTGAGAGAAAGAAGTAGTAAGCTGAAAACATCTCTGTTAATCATGTCTATAAAGGATTTGGGAGTCACTTGGACTTAAAAACTTTGGCCCTTCCTGAAACATGCTGTTCTCACCTGCTTCCATTCCACTGGGTTTTCTGTGATCCTTACAGGCACCATAACTGGAAAAAAGGCACCAAAACTGTCTAAAATGATGCCTCAGAGGGACCCTAGAGCTCATCTGCTGCTTACAAATGCAGAATACCTGCTGGAGAAGATCCTCTATGGAGTTTCTAGCTTGGGAAGGAAATCCCTTCGCTCCCTTGCTCTGCGTGCCTCCTCTCTGCCACCTCAGCACTCCACATGAGCAGAAGCTTCCCACAAAAGCCTCTCCAGCCCCTGTCTCCTTGTCTTGGCCTTTCTTTTGGCTCGTGGACAGTCTCCTCTTGTCCTTCACACAGCCCTTTCTCTGCTGTCTCCTGCTGTATTCCACATAATGCCTGCAGCTCTCTCCAAGCCCTTAAATCCAAAGCCAATATTCAGGTTGCATCCTATTGGCTTTGGGGTTGTCCCAAAACCTTTGGGAACAGGCTTTAATTCTAAAATTAGCTTAACACACTATTTTATGCCTATGCAGAGGGTTTTTGGCTGTGCTCTAAAAATGTTGCCCTGATTTAATTCCTTGTGTAATGCTCTTGGCTTCACCACAAAAGTCACTGCTATTCCATCTATTTTTTTCAAGCAAAATCACAAAGCTCCAAAAATAGCATTTTATCAGCAATATCTCCATGTGTCATCCAGTAAAGTCCCTTTGGAGAGAAGGTTTTCAAGCACAAACTATCCTAATGCAAGGCAGGATTACCAAGAAGATTCTGGAAGCCTTTAAGTCTAGAAGGTAAGAGCTTGCCAGCTCCCTAGCACTGCAGAAAAGCAAACATGCATGTTGGCTGTTTGTTGCTCCAGAAACCTGATAAAAAATGGTTAATCAAGCCTTAAATTTGCAGCTACTCCTCCCTTTATCCTCAAGGCAGCAATTAAAAGCTCACAGTGCAGACAGACACTGAGGTGTCCAAGCACCACTGAGCAGGCTCTGGGGTTTGTTCTCTGACTGTTAGAACTGTTCATGGTACATGGCACAAAACCTTCCACTCACATCCTAATCCCAGTTTTCCATCCTCTTCACTGCTCACCTACCTGCCACAAGGACGACCCCCAAGGAGACAGCCAAGGCCACGCACAGCAACAAATAGCTCTTCATCTTGCCTTCCCTTCTTTTGAAGAACACGAGTGGAGAGCCTGTCTCTGCCTATAAGGGTGTGTGCAAATTGGTTGCCTAAAATAAAGAGCCCAAACAGCTGCACCAGCACTGGGAGATGTATCTGGGGACTGAAACCAGGTGTGGAACTGCACAAGACCTCTGGCTTTCGGAGGGGAGGGGAGGCAGGGGGCTGTGCTCTTACTGTGCTGCTTTATTCTCTGCATCACCACCAGGCAATGAAGCTGCTGAGTGCAAGAAGATGCAAAACCATCCCAGTCCTTAGCGTATGTTTTGCCATCAATGTGAAGTAAGAAAGTCAAAGGGCCACAGCTCTGGCTCCTAATTGTGAGAAATCAGACTTCAAGATCACTCGAGTCATATTACAAAACCAGTTCAGGCTTCAAAATCAGAATCCTGTCTGGCCCAGGTGTGTGCAGAGCTGTATGAATGGCTCAGCTTGCCCCCAGAGAGCAGCCAAAGCAGGCAAGGTGAGAGGGGTGAAAGAGGTAAAGCAACAGCAGCTCTGTGGCAAAGTTGAGCCCTGCTGCCAGCTATGCCCACTGCATCAAGTTCCTTTCCTTGTGAATAGAGAAGGGACTCCATGGGATCTGTGGTTTATGAGATGTCCTGAGCCAGGTCTCAGGCAAACCCTGAGGTATTGGGCAGACTTTTCCTGAAGGAAGGTGGTACTGGATATGACCTGGGATATTTTTTGCCCCATAGTTAAGATCACTTGTGTAACTCTCAAAAGCAAATGTTGCAATAGACGCTGCAGTGCCCAGAGCTGTCTGCAGCATTTGCATGTGTCTTGTGTAAGAGAGGCCACTTTTTAAGGGAATCCCAGTCTTAGCAAGGGCTTGGTTGCTCTTGCCAGGCTTCTTCAAGAGGCTGAAGTCTTTAAGCAATGCTGCCAGACATCCCAGTCCCTGTCACTTTGCAGGCTGTCTTCCCTTTCTCTTGACCCTGCTGGCTGTGTCCCTAATCCCAGAGCTGTTCAGAGCCCCTCAGTTCTGTGCCCTGAGCTCTTCCTCCAAGCACAAGCATCTCATCTGGTAGTTGCCTGATGCAATGAGCTTTCAGGTTGCATCAGCAGTGCTCACATGCAAGGTGAGTGTGGGAGGTGGGGGGGGTTGAAGGATGACAGCCCAGCTCCTAGCAGGGCATTGGGTTATGCCATGGTTCTCCCAAACCTTGTTTTCTCACTAGGGATCCATCTTTAGGAGGGTAAAATTTGGGTCTGCTTCCTTTCCTTCTTCCAGAAAGTGTTGCCAAATTTCATGCTGCTTTTGAAGCAGTGGCAAGGTGTTCCCTGTGCCCCATCTTTTGAGGAAGGTAGGGGTGTCTGTCTAAACACTATTTGTTTCACTCACCCTTTTCTGTGACAAAAGATTTTATAGGTTTATGCAAGAAGGGGATGCAGCAGGATAAAGCACATGGAGAAGAGGCTGGTTCTGGCCTGCTTTGCCAAACTGCACTGGTAAAACTGTGGCACTAGGAGAAGCCATGCAGAGGCACCACCTGAGACTGGGCAGAGCTATATTCTGTGTGTCTCAGTTGATTTCTGTGGTTTTCCCTGGCTGCTGGTGCTCAGCAGATCTGGATTTCGGTTGCTAAATCTGTAGATGTGTGTATGGTCCCTTTGGTCTGGAAATGGTGACACAGAGCTATTCTTAGTCCTCTTCAGCCACCTGCATGTTTGGGGGGATTTTAGCTTCACTGCAAGCTCCTGAGAGGAAGGTTTGTTCTATGGGCTGTTACTTGTAAGGACTATCCCCTTTTTACTGGTGACATTCTGAATTACCAGGAAATAACCTGTGCCAGTAGGTGTTTGGCAAGGGGCTAGCAAGAAAAGCCAAGGAAATGGTAGGTTAACCCAGACTGACAGCATCCACTGGTTCTTGTGCTGGTAGTGATGATTCCACTGATGCTTTGGTTTGGCTTGAGCACCTCCTGGTAACTGGATGAACTAACTCAGGCCAGAGGTCATCTCCAGCTGATCCAGAATTGGATGATGTTTTCAGCAGCTCCTGGAGGAGGTTCAAATGTCAGTAGATTCTTTCTTGCTCTTGGAAATTAACCTTGTCTTGAGAGACAATATGCCAATTCCATTTCAACCTGTGACAGTCCAAGTAAAACTTTGTTGTTAAGGCTCTGAATTGTGAAAGAACAGACTTGGTAACAAATATGAGGTCAGTTAAGATGGAAAATGTCAGGGACAGGTGCAAGGCCTGGGTTTCTGTAAGTCACATGTGAAGTTATCTGGAGTTTTAACCTTGCAGGAGTTGGCTGCAGATGTCTCTGGATGGATTCAGACAAAAAGCCAGCATGATTGAGCAGCCAAATTTTGACCCAGATGTGACCATGTGAAGAGGCTGAGAGTGCCAGAACAAGCCAAAACGGGACTGTCTGAACCCAAATGGATCACCAAAAGGTAAGTAACATTGTGCACTTTACTCTGTTTCAGTTAATTTGGGTATTTGCTTGACTTGTTTTTTTCCACAAAAAGGTGGACAGGAGCATTTATAAATACAACACAACACCTGTTCTGTGGTGAGAAAGAAGCACCTGCACTTTTCATACGCAGAACTGCTCCTGCTGGGACATGGGTGCTTAATTTATCAGGCTCTGGTTTCTGAGCTTCGAGTGCACGGATCACTGTGCCTCTCCCTGCTCTTCTGGCAGGGCTGTAGTCCTTAAAAGCAGCCTGTTTCCATGTGGCTCAGTATTCATGTGGTTTTCCCTTGGGAAAGGTGGGAGGCTGGGCTGGACACTATGAGGGATGATAGACACAAAAATACAGGAGAGAACACAAAGGCAGATAAATAGAATTTGCCTTAAAAACTCTCCTGGTGAAGGGTCCCAAGGTGTTGCAAAATCAGAATTGCTCTTTTAATAATGTGTGGGACAGATGGATTTGTTGGTATAAAAGGTTGGATCCAAGGAGTGCAGAGGTGATGAAGTAGCAGCTGCCCAGCTGTGCAGGCTGAAGCTGCCTTGCAGCCCCCAGGAATGGGTCTGGCTCCTGCCAGGAGCTGCCTGTATCCCTGTAAGGATGTGATTTGGTGACGGGAAGGGCTTGGGAGAGTTCATGTCTGTACCTCGGGGAAGCATCCAGGGAGGTTTGCCAATACTTCTGCTCCTCTCCGAGTTTGATCTGCTCATAGGGAACAACACAGAGGAACAAGTTTTGTTGCAAGGAGTCAGGTGCATTTTCTATCTGGTTTTGTTCCCTCATCACTGTCAGATGACTGCACAGACAGCAGCTGTACATGGTTGGGCTTTTAGAGGGGGTGAAAAACAGGTTTTATTTCTTGTTTCACAAGTGGCTTTGTTCATTGCTGACAAAGAGGTCTGAAACCCAACTCCGCGGGGGCTGCCCCAGGGGCATCAGCATCCCCTCGGGGACGGGAGCACCAGCATCCCATCGCGGGGGCTGTGCCAGGGTACCAGCATCCCATCGCGGGGGCTGTGTCAGGGTACCAGCATCCCATCGCGGCGGCTGCCCTGGGTACCAGCATCCCCTCGGGGGCTGTCCCGGGGGTACCAGCATCCCCTCGCGGGGGCTGTGCCAGGGTATACGC